AACCAAGTCTTTTTATAGGGTACAGAAACAAATGATAATACATTCAGTATACACCTAGAAGCAAGTGATCAAACAAAGATACTGATTACATGTGAGACTTAGCGGCAGAAAATGAGTCTACATTAGACATTTGTTACTTGAGTTTTGCCTTATTTTATGACCTTTCTTGCAGTTGTTAAGTAAATCATTGCTTCCATGGCCCGGTTCAGAATGGCTCACGACTGAGTAGTGGGTTAGAGACAGGAAAAGGTGTGATCAGTGATGGGCTTGAGGAGGAGGAGGGTGTGGGACTCAGCAGGTGAGAAGAAGGCCCAAACCCTTAGGGGACTTGAAGGGTGGGTTGGGAAATGGAGGGAGACAGATGGTGTGTATGCTGCAGAGTTCTTTGCCACAGTGGTAGGGGAAACACCTGGTAGCATTAAAGTGGCTGCAACTTTGAAACTGGGTTGTCGCTAAGGCACCGATCGGAAGTGGAGAACTACCTGGAATTAAAGCTGTGTGACTTTGGGCGGCATACCACATAAACGCACCAGGAAGCAAAAGAAAAAAGAAACAACTAATATATAAGCAGAACATCTAGAATCTGAAATCCAGATGGGAGAAAGGATAGCAGCAGCTAAACCCCACAGCCACTGGGTTGTCTTTGGCTGGAATCGAAACCTGCTCCAGATCCTCAAGTCCTTCAGATGGTGGCAAGGAAGCTGGACAGCATCATTTGGTCAGCTGGATAGGGATGTACATCCAGGTGGTCTCAGCGAAATAATTCACTTATTTAGCCCTCCCGCTGTCCACATAGCTTGCGAATGAGAAGAGGACGGGTTGGAGATCAGCCGATTCTCCACTTCTCCAGGTAGCAGACGAGGTCAGGCGTCTTCAGTGTCAGTGTTGTCGCTTCCTGAGGAATGTTCCCAATAAGCTTCGTGATAGCGGCTCTCTTGCACCCGTCGTAGAGCTCTCTTTCTGCAAGGAGATTCCACATAGGTTTAGAGGAAGAAACACGAATGCTGCCTCCGCCTGGCTAGAAACATAGATGACCTCTGGCAGCTCTTGCCAGTTTGTGGCATTTACCTGGCCTTGAAAGAGGAGGCTATGCCTGGAAGTTCAGCTTCTCCAGTGACTGGCCATTGAAATGAAGCTCAGCCTTTTGTTCTCATGCCAACCACCATAGCTGCCCCCCACCCGCCTTGTCCTCAAAGGATCGTGGATGTTTGGAGGCCGCAAGCAGGAGCCGCATCTTTGCGTCTTGCAATCTGCCCTCACAATGCAAAATTCAGCAAGTTTTTGAAGTCTCTGCAGCTTGCTAAACTGCCATGGTTTCTCTCAGGAGTGGCACACAAAATGCTGGTTTGGGTAATAATTATTTTCCTCTGTCTTCAAAATAACGGATGGTCCCAACAGGTGTTCTGCCTCTCCCATGGCACCCTTAACTAACCTTGAAATCTGTGTCTTGGAGGATCTTTGACAAGATGTTCCCCCTCCCCTCAGGGATGCTTGAAGGCTGATCTAGGAAGATTCCTTCCCCAGAGAGGCAAAAGCCTTGTGACTCTGGACGCACAGAAACAACAGAGCAAGTACTTCCCCTGTGCCTGTACTACAGAGACTCACCATTACTGTATAAATACCCAAGGCACCCAGGACAATGGAGTGGTGCAGTGGCCTAGAGGTGGAGCTCTCGCCTCACAATTAGGAGGCTGTGAATTTGATTCTAGGTACAGGCAGATATTTCACTCTGGGCACAATGAGAATATATCTGCTGCAAAAACTGCATTGGCGACAGGAAGGGCATCTGGCTAGTAAACAGCTCCGTTCAGTTGCCCCAACTCCAATCCACAAGGGATTATGGGGTCATTAAACAATGAACAACAACAGCCCAGGACGATTGTACCCTTCCCTGCTGCTTGCAGGAGCTAATCCTGTTATAACATGTCTGTTGTGGCTCGCCAACTGCCAGCGGAGCTGGTGGCAGACTAGGACGTGGAGGAGGATGGGGAGGAATTTGGGCCAGTCCTGGAGTCTGGGGAAGTCTCTGAAGGATGCTCTGTGTTGGAAGCAGAGAAAGAGCCAGGGCCCTCCAACACTTCCGAGTTGCCTTTGGAGTCGGAGTGGGGAAGAAGAACAGCTGGGGCTTGTTCCAGATGTGCACAGGCACAGAGCTGTCAGGAGAGGAGAACTGAGGACCAGGTTCTGACTCGGGAAGAAAGGCACACGTGGACACTGAATGCCCCTGGCTGGGGAATAAATAGAAGAAAAAGGGGAGTGGTATCGTAGAAGACAACCTGCTCCTGTGGTTTCTATTCTCAGAGACTGCTTGAGAGCGTTTAATTTACACCTTTGTGGCTGGAAGCTCCCAGCCTGGCAACTATCCCAGGAACTGATAAGTTCTGTACTTCAGTTAATCCTTGGAAGGATTATTGCCTGGACTTTTCTGTGAATGCCATGAATTCACAGTAGCTAAATAAAAAGGGGTTTTTCGGAAGCAGGAGTCTGTTTATTGGTTTTGCTAAGGCTGGGTCAGAACAGTGTCATGTTGCCAGGTTCTGTGCAACAGTGTTTAAATTCCGTCAGAGGGTCACAGTGGCATCACCACATATTAAAGAGCCTCGGATCCATTATTCAAGATTTCTGTCCTATTCCAACTTTTATGCTCCTGCACATTGCTAATTTTCTAATTGCTATTACTAATGCTAGTATAAAGTTACTTACTATAGGCAGTCCTCGACCTATGACCATAATTGAACACAAATTTTTGTTGCTAAGTGAAACATTTGTTAAGTCAATTTTGCCCCATTTTATGACCTTTCTGGCCACCATTGTTAAGTGAATCACTACACCTGTTAGTATCACAACAGTTAGGTTACATGACCCCGGCACACTGCAATGGCCATAAATCTGACTTGCCAAGCCCCTGAGTTTTGATCACATGACCATAGGGATGTTGCAACGGTTGCTGAGTGTGAGAAATGGTCGTAAGTCACTTTGAATGGTCATTAAATGGACCATTATAACTCAAGGACTACCTGTAATTATCTGTATCCACAACTGTAATAACAATTTGGTTTGATTTGATTTGATTGGCCTTACTAAGGCTTTATAAAGTGATATTAGTGCCTCCCTTGATCTGGATTGTATCAGAATGAATCTGTCCCAGGGATCCAGTGCCCAGGGAGATTTACCTCCGATAATGCTCAAAACTGTCCTTCATTCGCCGATGTCCTTTCTCTGGCAGGTCCCCATCCACTGGGCTCCTTCCTGGAGGAGGAAAGCAGGAAGGAGAATTGAATAGTATAAAGGTACAGAATCAGGAAGCTCTCAGCAGCTCAAGAGAAGGTGAAAACTGCAAGACTTTTCCGCATGGAAAGTGAGTTCAAGGTTTGACTCTTCAAGTACGGTGAATTTGGAATTTCCGCAAATAAGGGAGTGGGAAGGATGATAATAAAGTCTGCAAACTGGCCACGTAAACACACTTAAGGGGTCTGCAAATGCTCCCCTTGCATACAAATCTGGTTCAAAAGTGTCGGGGAGAGAACCGATACAGTAAGACCAGACAAAACGGTCTTGTGGAATAAGGGATATTAGAATGTGCCCCAAGTGTCTGAATGGACAGTTAGCCCATTTCTGGACAGGGGTTCTGAAATAGGGCTAAGCTTATGCCCCAGACAAGCTTGGCTGACAATTCACTGGTGTAAAGGAAGGGTGGGTGTGGGGGTAGATCGTGGTAACCTTTCCTGATCAATTGGTAGGACTTCCAGGATCAAAACCCTCCTTGTGGTTGAATTGCAGAGCAGGAGAAAAGGAAGGAAGGAAGAAGGAGGGAGGGAGGAAGAGAGAGAGAGACAGAGAGAGAGAATAGCTAGTCACAGATAAACATACTTGGTTTGGTGCCTTTCCTATCTTCGTCCGGATTTCCATGGGGAGTCAGCTTTGGGCAAGAAAGGGAGAGAGGGGTGAAAAATGAGAACATATTCTATTTTTGAAGGAATATATTTTTTTTGTTTAGGAAATGCAAAAACAAATGATGATTCCTGTAATAATTTTGAAACAAACCTGCATTTTAAGGAGATGTCGTGCCACAGAACTTTAAACTAAATCCACCCAATTAATGCAGAAGAGATGGAAATTTTATCTCATCATTTCAAAAATATAGTGAATTCCTGATGCTTGTTTTTTTTTTCCTGGTTCAACTGCGATGCAGCTGGTTTGTAGCTCTTAAAGTTGAAGTAAGCAGAAACCCAGCCTTTTTGCTTAATACTGTATATGATTTGGTGTAGTGTATTGGGCAAACCCACAAAAGGTGAAGTCAACAAACAGTTGTAGTATGCTGTGTGAATGCAGTTCCTGCAATATAAGCAAACAGGGCTTGGACACTTTTCAGTTTCCCCTTCTTCTCCCATGGGCTGCCCCAGATAGTAACAGCAGAGCCTGAGGGTGCACGAAGCTGCAGCTCTACTCAAATGGGGGCAAGAATAGCAATAGCAAGAGGACTTAGGCTTATATACTGCTTCATGGTGATTTTGCAGCCCTCTCTAAGCAGTTTACAGAGCCAGCCTCTTGCCCCCCAACAATCTGGGTCCTCATTTTATCCACCTTGGAAGGACGGAAGGCTGAGTCAACCTGGAGCCGGTCAGGATCGAACTGCTGAACTGCTGGCAGTCGGCAGAGTTAGCTGGCTCTACTGCATTCTAGCCACTGCGCCACTATGGAATAGTTAAAGATAAGGAAGCAGAAACTCCTAACTCACCTCTTGAGAGCTGCGGGATGAGTTTTCTTCAAGATCGGAAGTCTGGAACAAGACGATGTTAATTGGCAAGATGTTAAAAACAGCTTAAGCACCGAAAGACTTACCTATACCCCAGTTGCCCAGAAAAAAAAAAAAGGCCACCGTCAGATCCGTGTATCTCTCGTTTCTTCAGTGGAAGAAGAAAAGGGGGAGAGGAGGCTGATGAAGAAATCCTTTCTTGATGTAACCTGAATATATTTAATCTTATATCG